AATTCAATACCTGAAGCTTTGGCAAGAGTTAATCCATATTGTTTTAGTCAAATGGGCTTACACCCTATCATTGTTTCTTAGCCTCTTAAAAGTTAAAAGCTTAAGAAGTACTAAAAGCTTTGAAAACTTTAAAAGTATTAGGATTTTTTTATTAAATTTTTTTCCTGATAGTTTCTTTTAATACTTTTTTTTTTTTTTTTTTTTGTATCCATACTTTACACTTTTGTTTCATGCAATATCTTTTACATCATTTTGGTTCATTTGTTGCATGCCAAGACTAATATTTTCAGTTCAGTTCTCTTAAGATTGTTTATTCAGAATATTTTCCTCTTGCAAACAAGAGGAGAATTCCCTTGCTTCCCCTTTCATGTCTAGGCATCAGAATGGGTCTTCTGGCACATCACACAGTCCCACAATAGGGATTGCAGCCCTCATAGGCAAAGCTCTCTTGTGTTGAAGCATTTTGCCTCAGCTTCTGCACCAAAAAACTCCTCACTGAAATCTGAGGCCTGTTACCAACTGTCTTGTTCCCTCTGAACATGGAGAGAAAAAAAAGAAAAAAGAAAAAAGAAAAAAGAAAAATTTGAAAAATTTCTTCTTCTTTTCAGAATCCTTTTGCACATATTATGCACTGTCACCTTGACAGGCCTCTCCTTTCTACACCAGACAAATCCAGCTCTCATTAACTCTTTCTAGCCATATTTACTAAATGTATGGACATCTTCTCACGCCCATTTAGACCTCCCCTTCCAGGCCGTATGTATCTTTCCTGAAGCAATATACTGTTTGAACAACATTACCAGCTCGCACTCCATTGGTGATTACCTGAAGAAGGAGACAGCAAGTAACGAGACAAAAGACCCAGGGCTGACACGGCAGTTTTGTTGTAAGCAGTAGATAAAACTTGCCCAAACTGTGGGAGCTCTGCTCTGAGAGCAGTGCTTTTTCCCATGCTATTCCCATCTGAAAGCCGCTTCATGACCTGATTGCTCTACTAATTAGGAGCCCTTTCTCTGCAATTCCAAACTAACTTTACAGCTGGGGATCTTAAAGCTGTTTCTTCTTGTGCCAATGCTGTTTTTCTGCTAAAATTCTCTCTCCCTGGTGTTTATCCCCATTATATATTTACATAGGGTAATCACATCCCTTCTTAACCTCTGCTTTCCAGGACTAAACAAGCCACACTTGCTTGGTCCCTGCCCTCCCCCAGGTGATCTGCAGCTGCTCTGTTTTCAATTAATCTTTTGCTGAACCTGATTGACCCAGAAGAGCTCACAGACATCCAGATTATGTCCCACAAAGACCTTGAGCTGCCAGAATAATTCAGGTAAAGATGTGAAATGCCTCATCTAATACAATTATCCCAAAATGAGGAGCTCCATGTGCAAACCAGCCTCTCCAGCTCTCCCAGAACTCAAGGCAATGCCACATGTGAGTCTTGACTGCCCTCCAGACGGGCAAGATCTTTTGTGTTTCCTCCAGCTTCCAAAACACTCCAAAATAAATTGTTTCCTGCTAGGTCAAAAACTGGCTGATGAAAAAGCACATTTGCTGTAACAGTTGGGTATCAGGATCATAATTCTACAGTACTGCACAGCATTTCTTCTCCAAACTGTACTTAAGAAGTCAGAGATGGAGGAGAACCAGGGCCCCCCAGGATGTGGTCCTTTCAAGACCAAATGAAGCTGTAACAGCAGCTCCATCTTCAGGCTGCCTCCAACCAGTGCTGCTTTTCGGATGCAGGAGCTTCCCAGGGAGCAGGTGAAGATGACAGCAAAATGGGAAAACCATCCATCGGGAAAAGCTTAAGGTATGCCATACCTTATTTGAAGGTCCTCTAGGTAACTCAGGGCCATATTTGTGAAAGTTTCCATGGAAACAGGACTCATTTCTTTAAAATTCATATTCTTCATTTAGATCAAGTAAAGATCACACAAGGCAAAAATGCTTTTGAGTGAATATTTGAGTCTAGCTACACTGCTAGGCAAATTATGAGAACACAAACCTGATGCCATTAGTATAAAAGCAGATATGTGTTTGCCTACCACCTTCCCTTAGGGATACACAGTAGCCTGCACAATACCAATTTGAAACTCCATGGGCCAAATGTTCTTCAATGTGTGAACAAACTGATCATAAAGCTGCACAGAACATTCTTCATGTGAGATGTTCTGCATGCAAGTATGAGCAGGAAAGCTCATTTGGGCTCTGTTTCCAGTGGATTTGTATCCCCCAAAAATGATGCATTGGTGCAGGCTCTATCCACAAGGTATGAAGCTCATCATGTCTCAGCCAAGGAGCAACCATCTCCACCTGCACGATAAATATACACCCTATATGCTGAAAATCAGCAGCGATGCCCATTGGGTGTATTAAAGCATGTATAGCCCTCGTGATGTTAAAATGGACTGAGAAAAATCTTCAACTCAATCACAGTTTCGGCACAAATACTGAGTTTTTCCTGCCACACTGCAAGTCTAATTTCTACTTGCTAAATTACTTTTCTCCCCCTTAAATTTCTCTGCTCTTGAAAATATTTCTGCAAGCTCTCAGAGGGTATTGAAGGTACTGAGATGAGGAGATTAGAGACCCTAATGCTGTCTGCTACCATCCATAGGGTCTTTTCCAAAGAGTATTTAAAACCAAGGTCTAAAGAAACTATTCTTTAAAGGAGGACCTTTTCCTACCCCATTGACTACACATGCTTAAGACAGGTGCACAAACTAAAATACATACCTGCCATCCATAGTTACTGTTGAAAGACAGTAACTTCTCCTCCATAATTTATAGCAGTGAAAAATAACTGAGGTAAAACCTTGTGACAAGGTAAAAGCACTGCTCCCTGCAAACATTTAGGTGATCTCAGCTGATTGCAAGAGCTCCTTTCGGGCAGATGATCACAGAAAAGCAACAAGGAGCCAAGTCCAAGCTCACGTTCTTGTGTCCTGGCTTAAAATTCCCTTTTAATATCAACCTTTCCAGTTAACAAACCAGGCGTGCTGAGAAGACCTTGAGAGGTTCTTAGCTTTGGAGATGTAGGGCCATTCCTGAAAGAAGGAAATATTTCCCACTATGGTTCACGCTCAGTGCATGCAATCTTTTTGTCAGTGATAAAGTATATATTCCAGACTATTTCTCTATCCCTGCAAAATAGTTCATGGAGCTCTTCATTCCATGACTTTTAGAGGTCCACAGCCCCTTCATCTGTTCGCGGTTGGGAATAATAGGAACTCATGCTACCCTTGCCAAAAATGTGTAATCTGAAATAGATAATCATAAAATAAAGAAAATATATTGCCAGCTTCTACTGTGAGGCTGGTGAATTAGCCATTTTTGAGTGGCTAATTTCTATAACAAATCGATCTGTAATTGAACAGTATCATGGATTAGGAAACCCTGCATGAATACATGTCACATTATTTTTAATTTCAAACTATTCTACAAATTAAGGATGCAGAAAAACTCCAAGCAGTGGCTCCTATCAGCAAAGCCAGGCTGATGAACAAGCCATCCCATTTCCCCATGCGACCCTATTAAACACTCGCCCTGGGGATGGCAGGACACATCTCAGAAACGTCCCCACGTGGTAGGAGGCATCTCAGGAGCGTCCCCATCCCTTTGGCAAGGCCCGAGGGCCAGGGAAGGCAGTGCCAAAGACACCGGAGCCAAACAAAGAGCTCATAACACAGTCCTCCAATGCTCCCGGGGAAAGAAAGCTATGGCAATAAAACTTTTAAAGTACTTTTTTTCCTGCTTTAAACAGCCTGCTTTTTTACATAAAGGAACCAGGATGACAAAGTCCTCTCACACACACACACACACACACACACAAAAATCTTTAAAAAGCTGTTTGAAAAGCTTTACAATTTCTACAAAGAGGCTTCCTGCAGTCCTTTGAGAAGGCAAACAGTGCTTTTAAGTGCTATATTTTTATTCTTTTCAAATTGGGGATAAAATCCAGGTCTGGTGGAGAACATCCCCCACATGCATTATATTGTTTTGTAAGTGAGGTGCAGATAAATTTATCTCACTGATAACGTCATAAGTAAGCAGTGGGCAGGATAATATATGTCACCCAAGCTCACCACGGTAAAGCTAGGAAAGCAAAGGCTGCAGAAGTGAGAACAGCTTCAGAAAGAAATATAATTTCATCAAGATTACTAACACAATTAGTTTAATAGTAGAGCTCTTAAACTCCTCCATCACTTTCAAAAACACATACTCAGATGCTTGTGAAGTCACTGGGACTAAATATGTGATTTACATTCCCAATAAGGATATTTTCTTAGTTAGTAATTAAGGTACCAGGATTTCATCTCTGACCCCAAAGAAGTCGGTGAGTCTCTGTGCAGGGACAACTTTCCGTGGTGATCTCAGCTCCTCTGATTCATCCCCTTTGCTGTGAAGATATCGCTAGAGACGTTTCAGATCTGAAGAGCTCTTCCAGCTAAGCAGCTTGGACACTCCGTCCTTATGTACCAGATTGCCCTTGCTAAATCGCAAAGATGATGATGGTCTGTGACAGCACAGCATTACAAGAGGTACCCAAAGTGCTCATTTCCTTTACTTTTTCCTTTTTGTTACTTTTGGTTACCCAAGTATTAGGAGAAACACGGAGGCTGCCCCAAAGTCACACGCAGTTCCCTTCTGTTCACGGACCGACTACCAACCTGAGCTGACATTAAGGCACGAGGTTTTTAATCTGTGTGCTTTATGTCAACGTGCATCTAAACCACAAACAAGACAAGTCTAAGTTTTAATAGCTCTTTGATTCAACTGGGATTTAGGCCGTGCTTAAACGTCTACTGGCCTTAAGCTTTATTACAGGGAGAGAGGTATGGTTCTTCACTCTTGCTATCCACTACAGAATAACACTCACCAACACCTAAGTCTTTTGCACAGTTCAGACAGAGTTTTGTCTTACAAATATCTGCCTTGCAGCCTGCTGATTTTGTCAAAATAATATACATTTGGCACTTGAGATTTCAACTTGCCTTTAGTTCCAGCGCTTCTCCCTGCATCTCCATTCAGCAAGGGGTCCTCTGCTGAGAAAATATCAGTATTTTGCTTCAGTGCTTTCTTGCAAGAGCCATAACACAGCCCCAGAGGGCATCATTTGGTCATGTAAGTTTACCTGCAATGGAAGAAAATAAAGAAAATCCATTACAGGAAGCACTTGGAGGAAAGCAGTAACCTGACCGTTACTGCTGGCTGCTTCCACCAAAACTGCAAGGCAGGCGACTGCAGAACTTAGCAAATAAAGGAGGTTTTAATTGCTTTTATATTCAATAATATTCTCCTACAATACCAAAAACAGATTTTATGTGTCTAGGTGTCCCAATGGCAGCTATCCAAGTTCAAAATCAAAGTCTATTAACATATGAGAATGCATCATATCAGCAGGTAACAACCACGCTGTTTAAAACAGGATTATTTGCCTGTATTGCCAGTTCATGCCGCGCCAGTTGCTCACTATCTGATTAATCTTTAAGGCACAATTCTAGTTTTAGCTCTGAGGAAGACATTTCTGAACATACTTTCTTAACTTATTAAGGTAAATATGATATATAGCATTAATTTAACAGGACATGGAATTATTTTAGGCAGGCAGGAAATGACATTCAATTTCCAAATGTATCAAAAATGTATGCAGGTTAAAATTTCCGCAGAATTCACCTTGGAGAGGGCTCAAAATCAGTTACTTGACTGATTTGAGACTACAAAAGGAGTCATTTGACAATTATGGAATTCTTTCCTGAAAAATGTACACACAACACCAAAATGGTCCAGCCAAAATCCATCTAAATGAAAAAAAAACCCACTCTATACATTCTTAAAGCAAAGGTATCCTTCTTACAGAAACATTCTTGTGTGAAATCTTAATATTCAGACTGTTATTTAGAGCCACCTGGAATTAATCCTGCATATTAAAATGGAATGTGTCTGCAAGGAATTTATTCTGGTCTGCAATAAGCATGCTCCATGAAGATTTGGGATGATGGCATGGATTAGCCTTTGCAAAACATTTTCACACTTTTTTGACTTTAAAGTATGTCTCTAAGTCTGGCTTTTTTTTTTTTTTTTTTTTTTTTTTTTTTTAATTCTAAACCTTGAACATAGCAGTGATATTTAATTTACCAGTAGACCTCTTTGTTCTACAGATGCATAATATGCTTCAGAAAGAGGTAATATTCAATTATCCCTGATATTGAAATAATTCCTGACTCAAAAAGCAAAGAATATACACTTATTTTGGATGCACTGTTCCAAATTATTCAGATATGAAATTATTCCAGAAAAAAACAGTGCCTTTTACTGATTAATATAGTAATTAACATACCTTTCAAAACAGCTTAAAGGAATACATCTCTAAGAATAATGGTAAAAGAACTACTAAACTACACACGTGCATCCTGACAAAGTTTATGTTAACTTTCACATTTAAACAAGGTCCTGTAGGAGCTGCCAAGTTCGAGGAGCTCTAGTAAGAAAAGGAGGAACCTACATCAGCCCTCAGGGTTCTGCACTGAGCCCTCAGCAAGGAAAATGCCCCTTGGTTGAAGGAGCTGCCTTCTCATGCCCTGCACTGGGTTGCCACACGTAAGCATATTTAGAAGGCAAATGATCTCACGATGAGTCCTTCGCTTGTTCTCTACGTGCCCAAGGTGACCCAGCAATTTCCAGGTCTTCAGAAATGAAGAGTGGCTTTCCAGTCAACTTCTCTGTGACTGATGAAGGCGCAAGGTTGACCAGCACACAACTCGGTATGAAATGGTGCTCTCAAGTATTGCTTGTAGTGAATTAGGGGATCTAAGTTCCCACTTCCCACTCTTGTGCTTAAACATACTGTTTTCTCTAATAGGAATGCATTTTCAAAATTTAATCTAGTCTCTTTGAGAAGTGCTTACCTTCACACAGCTCTTCAAACCTTCCATCTCAATGGCAAGGGAGCCACTCTCTGAAGGGATTTCAGTAAGTAGTATCAAGTGGGCCCCAAAAAAGCATTGACCCTGAAAGCAAGAAAATGGAAACAGTCACTTCAAACAAGGAAATTTATATTCTCCAAAACCCTCAGAACAAAGAGCATTCTGCTAATCTTAAGAGCTCTCACAGTGTTATAATTTACCCTATCTTGCAGCCTCATTGCCAGATGAAGCTCCTGCAGTGCTGCAGGAGTGCCGTATATTCAGCTTTTGTAACACAGTCAAGAGATTCCTCAAATGCTCTCAAAGATGTAACCTCCACAGAAATTCTGAAGGTAAAGACACAGCTGATACTCTTGGTGCAGATCAGAACAACATGAAAACACTTTGGGAAAGTGAATGGTAGAAACCTAAGGTCAAAGCACTTAAAAAGTATCCATACAGTTCCTTACTGTAACAGGTAACGCAAACTCATAAAATTTATAAAAGACTTATGAAGGACAGGAAATCAAGGGAAGGCCAATAATTTCTACCTTACATTAACAAAATGCAATGAAACAATTTCATGGGTCAAGCCTGAAAAAAAAAACATTCCTGGAGTTCCAATCAGAGCTCAAAATCCACTACAGACCAACAGGCTAGCGCTCAGAGCTAAATAACAGGAGTGCCAAAAGAAACAACATCATCAAATATTCAATGCATGCACCCAAGAAAGAGATGATAAATCTTAAATCTATGTTGGAGACCACAAACAGTTACTGCCCTGGGCAGTTTTGTAGTGTCATTCTTCCACTTCTTAGAAACGCACATTCCTTGTAGTTGCCAGTTTAGGAATGAACATTTGAAAGCGAGTTCCTCTGCTCTTACACTGAAGACTATATTCTTGTCTAAATGCAGCAAAGCCCTCTTCTGGCTTTTACTACCCATCTATTTATAGAAAGCAATCGTGTTATTATGCAAAACACTTCTTCCAGCCTAAATAAGCCAGGCTTTCATCTTTTCCTCATCAAATCAGTTCTCCATTTCCTCAAAAGCACTTACACGTATTCCAATTGGAAAGCATCTTCCTGAAACATCATTCAAACAATACTGAAACAAACACCATCAGTCAAGAACATCATCCTCAAGAATGGTGAAGAAAAGTTACTCAGCTGAACGGATGTAGCTGCCTTTTGGGTCACACAGAATATCAACATGAAAGGCCGGATTTATCTTAAGGCCAGCACAACGGTTGGTTTAGGGGAGAACTTACAGAGCTTAAGACGGTGGCTCTTTCTAGCCCCAGCGAGGTGTGTATGTTGGCTCCAGTGCTTACGTCCCACAGGCCCTATAGATCTGTGGTGCTGCACTGATTAGAAACAAATCATTAAACAGGCAGATCCCTTGCTCTAGCAGGTCAGCAAGATGAAGATCAATGCCAAAAAGGGGGAAAAAAAAAAAAAAAAAAAAAAAAAAAAAAAAAAAAAAAAAAAAAAAAAAAAGAGAGAGAGAGATCATTCCTACTCTCTGTGTTTATACTAGTATTGACAAATGTGGTCCAGGTCCAGTCTATGGTGCCCAGCCCAGGCAATGGGCTCCCTGTCTCTGGTGGAAAAACTCTCCTACCTTTAGGGATACAGGGATACAGGGTTGAAAGGCACCGATTCCTCATAGATAAAGAGCCACCAGGTTGGCATTACGTAGGAAAACTACCTAGGCCATCCCTGATATCTGACCTGCTTTGGCAGCACTATCTCCACAAGGCTTTGAACAGAAGATAAAAATCGCTACTGACAAGCAAAAATCCAAACTATTACATATAAATGACACTGAATATTAACAGCGTCAAAAAACAAACTACGTTTAAAATTAAAGCTGTCACCACTTATTTGATTAAAGTAACGACATAGTTTGGGTAAGATTTCCAGATACTCCTAGCAATCCACCTTGCTTAAAATTGTATTTTCCTTTGATGCACCTTTCATCCTGCAAAAGCCTTTCAAAATGCCATTCTTTGAAGCATGGCTTAGCATATTCTGCCCATCTAACCTTAATTATTGCGGGCTTCACAGTGAAGGAGATGGCACATTTCATTGATTGCTAGTACAGCACAAATTTGCAGAATGGAAAAAGTTATATATAATATAACTCATTTTCACTTTTGTCTTTCTAGACACAAAAATCAATTTCAGAGCGTTTCAGGCTTGAAAAGAAAACAATATTTTTCCTTGAATTTCTAAATTATTTCTAAATTAACCATCTTTGGCTCTCTCTCCCTAACGCCTCTGTCACGATCTGGGGTCAGGTATTCTTTCAGCAGGGAGTTGTACTTTATTTCACTGCTACAAGAAGTCACAAAACATCTATTAATTACCCAATATTCCCCTGCCTGAGTGCAGTAAAGGGAGACTTATTCCTAGACCTACAAATCCTCAACTGAAGAAATTAAATAATCCCAAAATTGCAATATCATATCAGATTAATTTATGATTCTTCATTGTGGCACAAAATTACTGCTACCAACACTTCAATCTAAAACATTTGGGGTCTATCTTCATGGCAGTGCCCCTTGACTTTTTTATCATTTATGTTGAAGCCCACGTGGCCAAATTAAATACTGAAACCTCAAAGTAAATCTGACAGAAACGGATAAGAAGAGGCGTGAGAGGATATTGCAGAGACAGATTTGGATTTCTGAGAAGTACCAATTTTCCTGGTGCCCTCTCATGCACGTACACAAATATGAACATCATCAGTAATCTTAACTTTTTTTTGGTACTTTAGAAAATGTGTTTTCTGTGCAATTTTTTAATGTAACATTTAAGATTTCAGAGGGTTATTTACAATAAATTTACTTTTGCAACATAAAATTAACTGAAGCCAGTTATAGACAAAAAAAAGTCTCGATATCTAAAATCTCTAAGCAACATCTACATCAATATGCTTATTTATTTAAAAAAATAATCAAGGGTTTGGATAAATATGCAAAAGGTTAAAAATACAGTTAGCACTCGCATTCACATTAGCACGTGAAAGAAATATTATTTTCTCCCATACTGTGAATATCTCTGTCAGCGTTTCTCAAGAAGGTACAGAAAGTCCTCCTTGGACATCCTTTCAAATACTTGAAAGCATTGAGGAGACACAGAAAATTACTGACTCTGAGATGAAGGCAGCAGTTAGGAGAAGTAACTAGCTCTGTAAGAGGTTTGCAAGGGAACATGAAAGAGAGGACAGGGGTTTAAGTCCATGACTTAATCGTAGACTCCTTGTAGGAGGCAAGAGGATGCATGGCCAGAGCTCTGGAGTCTCCAGAGCAGGAGGACAACAATTGGTTTTGGCAGACCCATTGGTAATGCCATAAGTCCAAACTGTCTCTTCCTTCACGAGTCAGGAAATGAGTGAAAGCAGCTGAGAACTACAGTTTCTACTACTAAAATATCTCCAAAGAGCTGAAATTATTACCTTGATTTATTCAAATAGTCATAGGCTACAGTGCAACATGGATGTGATGGCAACCAACTGAGGAGATGGCTGGTGAACATTTCAGGTATAAAGAGCTTTCTTCCCAAGATTACAACAGCGTATCATCTCCTCACATCATTTGCCAGGGCATAACTGAAGATACATAATGTTATAACATTTGGAGAAGTAGTATTTTTCAGAAATTTTCTTAAATTTCAGATTTTTTTTTGAATTTTTCAAAGAGCACCAATCAAGAATCATTTTCTGACAAAAATACACTGAATCACTATGTATTTCTGTAGACGTAAAAGACAAAGTTAGTTGCATTTATTGGTTGTTCCAACAACTCAACAAATCTTGACCATACCAAGCTTGTTTTAGGCTGACAGGAGGAAAATCATGAATACTTAAGTGTCTGGAGTACACGTAAAATATTTTAACTTCTTTAAGGCTCTTATAGGTTTAAAATTAAGCTTATGTATAAAAGATTTATTCCTCTACATGGCTTATGGGCCATCCACAATCTATCAAGGAGTTTTGCAACAGATATCATAAAAGTCATCATTGTTTCCAGTTTAAGCCAATTAGATTACAATGTTAACAGCAAAGAGCTTAAAACTCACAGTTTGTTAGATCTTATTTACCAGAATAATCTAAAAGTATTAGCAAGCATTTATTTTTCTTTAATAATAAATGAAAGGAAAATATTAAGCAGTGTATTTTAGGAATGTCATGTAAATATAGTAAAAGAGAGGAGAGAAAGAGAGAGCTAACTTAGAAAATAAGACTTACGCATCTTATTTATCCATCTCAAATTTATCTACTTCAAAACTCCTTGAAAACACTTTTTCATGCCCTATTTCCCTATATGTAACACTATAAATTATATTATCTAGCTCTGGAAATATAGGAACATGGAAGTATACAGAGAATGGCTTCAAGTGTTCCTAGCACTGATAGAGAGATAAAAAAGGGATTTGAGTTTTTGGTCAAAACATTTTCTCAGCAAAGGACAGGACACACAATAGCTTTTAGGGATTTTTTTTTGCCCACTGTGGCTTGTCCTTGGCAACGTAGCAAGACTTTAATTTTTTTCTTTTTTCAAATGAATCTTTCTTCCCATCAAAGGAGGAAGAAGGTGGTTCTGTTCCGGCCAAAGAAACGCTGCTCAAGTAGGGCGATGGAAATAGATCTAAGTAGCAATTCTAAGGTAAAGTTTGTGTCTGTAAAGTTTCACATCAGCTTCTTAAACTTCAGTAAGAGTTTTATCACATCTGTATGAGCTTTAATTTCAGGTAGGTAATTTCTATGTTTTGGAATTCAGGTTTTAAATAAGCCCTTAAGCAGGGTTTTAAATAAGCCCCCTCTGCCCTTACGCAGAGTAGTAGTTCCGTTGCTTTTAATGAGAGGACATGGAAATGTGTAGTTGGCACCCAGGAGGGCAGCCCTGGACACCTATTCCAAGCCTAAACACCACAATATATCTAGACCTGTGAGTTCATATGTGTTGCAGCTTAGCATGATCCAGGCTTTCCCTCAGCCTTTGAAAACACATGGACTTTCTTCACCCATTCTTGTGCCATCTCCCTAACATATATTTTTTGCCAGGCTTAACATTTTCTAAGGGCATCTATTATCTATAT